AGCCCCACCGAAGGCCCCAGTGGCTGCGTTCACATGCGCCCACCGCACCCATGTCAGCACACCCCTCACACGTTTCGTGGACCCACAAGGAGCCCCACCAAAGGCCCCTGTGGCTGCGTTCGCTTGCGCCCACCGCACCCATGGCGGCACACATCTCACACGTTTCGTGGCCCCACAGGGAGCTCTACCGAATGCCCCACTGGCTGCGTTCGCATGCCCCCACCACACCCAATTCGGCACACCCCTCACACGTTTCGTGGCCCCACAAGGAGCTCCACCGAAGGCCCCCGTGGCTGCGTTCCAATGCGCCCACAGCACCAATGTCGGCGCACCCCTTGCACGTTTCGTGGCCCCACAGGGAGCTCCACCGAAGGCCCCGGCACAGCCCTCATGCGTTTCGTGGCCCCTTCGGGATCGCTACCGAAGAAGATACTCACACTTGCGGTACGCACAGCTGCATATGGGCGGGCCCCTCGCCAGGATATTTTTGTCCTAAGCATCCATAAATGCGCCCATGGGTCCAGATTTTGCCGTGGGTCGGTATGTGCGCTATATATCCACGATTGATCCTAGAACCCAGGCCAGACAGCAGAAGGAGGATGACCTGGCTATTCACTCGATTGCTATACAGTTCGCACGCGAGCCACGCCCAGGGATCCCTGGCGATTCTCAAGATGCGGTTGTTTCCCCTTGCCCGCCCTCCCCACTTGCATCCTCCTCCCCCTTTATCCACCTCCGCCCAAATTGTCAGCAGCTGTCCTGTCCCGGATCGCTGCCAATAGAGCGGACGCCCCCAAAAGAGGGCGGGGGCGGGCGGCAGAGGCTCGGCGGTTGCCCATCCAATCACTTAATCTTCCTGGGCCACCGCAAGAGATTCAGCCCAGAGTTGCGAGAGACCTGACGCAGACAGGGTTGCACGGATGGTTCCAAGCTGCTACTGCAAGCAGCTGAAGCGGGTTCCAGATCTGTATTGGGCGGGGGAGGTGCGGCAGGAGCTTCTCGGGAGGAGGTACGGGGCCCGCTGTCTCAGTCACGCTCCTGTCTGGAGGGGACTCCTGTGGCCGTGCAAGGGCGCGACCTCGTGTGTTCAGCGCTGGCATTTGAACGAAGTCCTCGATGGTCGCGAACCCCGTTCACTTTCTCCTGGCGTCCACCCTAGTGGTGCTGGTGACGCGCAGCCAGCCCTAGCACTTGGGCCGAGGGGTGCCACTAGTGCTTGGACGTCTTTCGGTCTGTTCGGCCCCTGTCCAGGTGTAGCTTGGCCCCTTGGCCTCGTGTGCCTCTGAATCCTGTGAAGGGCCACTCTGCCTCGGATCTCCGGGACGGGTCTCGCTTCGGCGCCCCGTCACACCATCGGTGTTTTTTGCGCGATGGTCGCGTTAGTGAGGGATGGGCTCTGGGGTTTACGTTATGGTCTATCGGTTCGTCTGGGAGGGCTGTTCGCACAAAGAAAGTCCTGTGTCCTCAGTCTGCCTGGGTTTTCTGTTCCAAGTTTCCGCAAATCCGCCGACCCCTTTGTGGGTCTCTCTAGGCGTGTGAGATAGTTCCCCCCCCATACCCCCCCCCCCCAAGGACCCCAAACCGGAGATTCGACCCCCCCCCTTCGCCCCGGACGAGCGCACCACGGGGCTTTTCCGGGCCCAAGAAAGCCTAAAGCAAGCCAAGAAGGCCCCAAAAGGCCTCCAAGAGGGCCCACGAGGGCCCCGAGACGCCAAATGAGAGCGCTCCAAGCCGCCCAAGATGGCCCAAAGACGGGCTAAGAGGACTCCTAGACGGCCCAAGAGGTCCCCACGAGGCCCCAAGAGGCCTCCAAAATGCATCCCAAAAGGGTCCCTACACGCAGAAATTGGCCCCTTCCCTTCGTAAAACGTACAATTTTCACAAATTCGCCTTCTGAACTTTACGATGCTCCCAGACGGCCCAAGAGGCCCCCAATACCGCCCCAAGACGGCCCAAGAAGCCTCCAAGAGGGCCCTAAGATAGCCCAAGAGGACCCCAAGACGGCCCAACAGGCGTCCAAGACGGACCTAGAGGGCCCCGAAGACGGCCCCAAGAGCGCTCCAGGAGCGCCCCAAGTGGCCTCCAAGAGAGCTCAATATGGTCCCAGACGGTCCAAGAGCGATCAAAGACACCGAAGACGGCCCCCAGACGGCCCAACATGCCCCCAAGAGGCCCCAAGAGGCATCCCAGATGCGTCCCAAGAGGGCCTCTGGACGCAAAAATTGGCCGGTTCCCTTCGTAAAACGTACATGTTTCACAAGTTCGCCTTTTGGGCTTTCCGACGCTCCCAGACGGCCCAAGAGGCCCCCAAGACCGCCCCAAGACGGTCCAATAAGCCTCCATGAGGGCCCCAAGACAGCCCAAGAGGGCCCCAAGACGGCTCAAGAGGCGCCGAAGACGGCCCAAGAGAGCCCCGAAGACGGCCACAAGAGCGCTCCAGGAGCGCTCCAAGTGGCTTCCAAAAGAGCTCAACATGGTCCCAGACGGTCCAAGAGCGATC